TTTTTTACCAAACAACCCATCAATAAGTATGTTTACACAAACATTGGCCATCCACTCTAATCAATAATAATCGAAAAAAAATCACAAAAGCCGCAGAATCCTCATAATAAAATTCGTTAACACTTATAAAGAACCCTTATAAAAGGTCCTTATAAAACACGTTTTTGACAATATACAATTTTTGATACCGAATTCCCAAAATCGAATTATTTACAGATGAGTAGGTTTAATTTTGAACGGTCTTATCAATCATTTTTTGATTTAGGATTATATTTTGGGCAGCAAAATTATAGGGTGACACATTATGATGAATTTTGATGATAAATAAGAATATGGTATATAAGACTGTGATAGAGCATCAGATTTTTTGTTTAATAAAACATCTTGAATTATAAACAATTGAAAATATGTAAAATTGCTTATCGCATTGCAACATTGATAATTTTGTAAAAGTATAAAAATATGTTTTCCATTTCACGAGTCTAAATATAAAACCATTATACTACCATTGGTATAAAATACATTCCAAAATATGTAGGAGGAGTTTCCTAAAACATTTTTTCCTACCATCTTTTAATACAAATCCTCCTAATAAATTATAAAAATTGTATTTTCAATCTTATACAATTCTCAATTCCAAAATCTCGAGAGCACACTTTTGTAGGCCAAATAAAAGGCACAAAAATAGGTCAAATTTACAACTAGGTAGCGTGTCAAAGTAATTATTTGTATTGTTCAGGTTTCTAAATGGAGGACTCGAGTGCCAGGATAATAATAATAATAATAATAAAGGATCTATTCAAATTTTAAGTTTACAGAAATTTCCTTTTTTCGGCACAAATTAACCTTAAAAGTCGTGTAATGGGCGTCCGTTTGCGCCAATTCATACTTTTTTTTCATTCATGAAAAATGCGGTGATTTGAATAAGGTTTGAGAGCAAAGGGCGTAGGGAAAATGTATTGTAGAATTTTTTTAAACAAATTTGACTAAATTGGTTATTTTTAGTACTTTTTTGGTTTTTGATGCAAGAACATTATTCGTGATTTACTACTTATATTTTGTACTATTGTTTACTTTGTTCCTATCAATTAACACATCTTATCTCTGAATACTCGTTTATTGTCTCTAATGACACTCTCTACAATATTTGTCTCTCACAAAATCTACTCAAACACTTTATTGTTTTGTTGTTTTATCCATACGTCAACAATGATTTTTTCATAAACTATTGTCTGAGATTTTTTTTTCAAAATTTTGTTTTTGTCAATGATTTTTTTTAAATCATTTTGTCAATGATTTTTTTCACATTTTTTGTCAATGATTTTTTTCCAAATTTTTTTGTCAATGATGTTATTATCTTATCTGTAAATACTCGTCTATTGTCTCTAATGATATTCTTTACAATATTTGTTTCTATTTGTCACTATTTATTTTTAAAGTTTTTTATGTTTACATTTTTGTTACAAAAATAAAATGTTTTTTTTTGCGTTTTAAAATTATTATTATTATTATTATTTTGTTTTAAAGTAATTGTTCAAAATTATTTTAAACATTTTGTGAAACTTTGTAAACTAAAAGATGTTATGTAACTTAAAAAGGTTGTATATTGTCTGAAAGTATTGTAAATTGTCTAAAAGGGTTGTTAATTGTCTGAAAATACTGTAGATTGTCTGAATATACTGTAGATTGTTTAAAAATGTTGAAGATTGTCTGAAAATGCTTTAGATTGACTAAAAATGTTGCAGATGGTTTGAAAATGTTGTAATTTGTCTAAAAATATTGTAATTAATCTGAAAATTTAGTTATTTGTCAATTGTTTGAAATAGTTGTAAGTTGCCTGACAATGTTGCAAGTTGCTTGAGAATATTGTAATTAGGCTGAAAATGTTGCAGATTGTCTGAAAATGTAGCAAATTGATTAAAAATCTAGCAAATTGGATAAAAGTGTGGCAAATTATATGAAAATGTTGCAAATTGGCAAAAAAGTTAGCGAATTGGTTGAAAGTGTGGCAAACTATATGAAAATGTTGCAAATTATATGAAAATATTGCAAATTGGTCAAAAATGTTGCAAATCAGCTTGGAATACTGCATATTAGTCACGAATCTTATAATTTGTCTGAAAATATTGTAGACTGTCTGAAAGCGTTGTCAATTGTCTGAAAGAGTTGTAATTTGGCTGAAAATAGTATAGATTCTCTGAAAATATTGTAGATTGCGTAAAAATACTGTAGATTGGCTGAAAATGCTGTATATTGTTTGAAAATGTTGCAATTCGTCTGGAAATATTGTAATTTTTTTAAAAATTCTGTATACTGTCTGAAAATACTGCAAATTATTTGAAAATACTGTAGTTTGTCTAAAAATATTGTATATTGGCTGAAAATATTGTATATTGGCTGAAATACTGTAGATTGGCTGAAAATGTTGTAATTTTCCTGGAAATATTGTAGATTTTTTAAAATTACATCTTAAAATTACAATTTAAAATTGGATTGTCTGAAAACACTGTAAATTGCCTGGAAATGCTATAGAATGACCGAAAACACTGTTAATTGTCTGTAAATGTTGTAATTTGTCTGAAAATGTTGTAGATTGTCTGAAAATACTGTAGATTGTCTGGAAAGGTTTGTAATTTGTCTGAAAATGTTGTAATTAGTTTATAAATATTGTATTAAGTCTTAAAATGTTGCAAATTAGCTGAAAATGTTGACAATTGACTGAAAATGTTGCAAATTATCTGAAAATGTAGCAAATTGGCTGAAAATCTTATAATTTGTATGAAAATGTTGCAAATTGGCTGAAATTCTTATAATTTGTCTGATATTGCAAATTGTCTGAAAATGTTGCAAGTTGGCTGAAAATGTGGCTAATTGGCTAAAAAAATTATAATTTGTTTGAAAATGTTGCAAATTAGCTGAAAATTTTGCAAACTAGCTGAAAATGTATTTATTTACTTAAAGATGTTAAAGATTGTCTAAAAATGTAGTGATTTATCTGAAAATACTGTATATTGTGTGAAAATACTGTAGATTATTTGAAAATATTGTAATTTGTATGACAATGTTGCAATTTGTCTGAAAATGCTGCGGTTCGGCTGAAAATACTGTAGACTGTCTAAAATTACTGTAGTCTGTCTGAAAATGCCGTAGACTGTCTGAAAATGCTGTGGACAGTCTGAAAATGTTGTAATTGAAAATTTGATTGGCTGAAAATACTGTAAATTGGCTGAAAATACTGTATATTGGCTAAAAATACTGTAAATTGGCTGAAAATACTGTAAATTGGCTGAAAATACAATAAATCGTCTAAAAATAGAGTAGATTGTCTAAAAATACTGTAGGTTGTCCGAAAATACTGTAGATACTCAAAAAATACTGTAAAAGATTGTCTAAAAATACTGTATATGGTCTGAAAATACTGTAGCTTGACTGAAAATACTGTATATTGCCTGGAAATACTGTAGGTTGTGTGAAAATGTAATAATTTTTCTGGAAATGTTGCAATTTGTCTGGAAATGTTACAAATTATCTGTAGATGTCGAAATTTGTCTGTAAATGTTGTAATGAATTTGGCAATGTTGCAAATTATCTAAAAATGTAGCAAACTGGCTGAATGTGTAGCAAATTAGCTAAAAATGTTGCAAATTGGCTGAAAATGTTGCAAATTATCTGAAAATGTAGAAAATTGACTGAAAATCTTATAATTTGTATGAAAATGTTGCAAATTCGCTGAAAATC